CTAGCTGCGGAGATGCCTTGCTCCCTTCACGTTGGGTGCAAGGTCAAGTGCATCCTGTGGCAGCACGGCGCCCCTGCATCGGACCTGTCGCGCGAGCTCACCATGCAGTGCCTTGATGTGGTGGCGGCCCGCATCGTTGGTGGCGTGGTGGTGGACAGGGGCCACAAGTACTCCGATGGCAAGGTGGAGGCGGCCTTCTGGATTCAGGCGGCGGAACCTCAAACGCTGGCCGACCAGCCTGACCAAGATGGTGCTGCCCTTCATTGTGCTGCGGATCGTGGTGAACTTCTGGATGGTGCTGGAGGTGCCGAAGAACGTGCCGCTCTTCCTGGTGTTCTGCCACCTCAGCGTGGCGCTGATCCACGGCATACTGGTGCGGGCGACCCATGGGCTGCGGCTGTGCCTCCGAGCGCCAGTCCTTGGCGAGATGAAAGTGACCCAGACCCCCGACGTCGTGATTTTTTCACGACGTCGACCCCCAGAGGTCTGGACTCTTTCCCCATGACCGGCTTTGCATCCTGAATCGTTTTTTGACGCTCCCGAGGCCCGGTGAGGGCCCCCGGAGGCCGAAAATTAGGAAGAACCTCCCGTCATGATTTTTTCATTACTCGAGGGGGTCTGGGTTGCTGGGCTCAACGGACCTCGCCGCCATCGCTGCTCTGCTCGGTCTGGATTGGGAGCGTGATGAGCACGGCGATCGACATCCTGAGCCCTCCGCTGCTGACCCTCTCGGGGAAGAACATCACCCTCAACCTGCTGGTGATCGGTTTCCTACCTCCTCCTCCTCCTCCTCCTCCTCCTCGTCCTCCTCCTCCTCCTCCTCCTCCTCCTCCTCCTCCGCCTCCGCCTCCTCCTCCTCCTCCTCCTCCTCCTCCTCCTCCTCCTCCTCCGGTTTCCTGCGGGAGATGGCCCTACTGGCATTCGCGCTGGACCACGCAACGTGCTGGACCAGGCCGACCTCGACGCCCTCGCAGCCATGCTCGACGCGCAATTCGGGGGAGTCCCCGATTCCATGGCGGTGCCAGAGTGTGCCCTGAATGCTGCCGCCGCCGCCGCCCCCGCCGCCTCCTCCTCCCCCGCCCCGCCTGCAGACCACGACTCACGACGCATCGGAAGCGGGCGTTCCTCCTCCTCCTTCTCCTCCTCCTCCTCCTCCTCTTCTTTCTCCTGCTCCTCGTGCTGCTGCTGCTGCTCCTCCTCCTTTCCTCCTTGGGCCAGTGGAGGAGAGGACAGGGGCGTGACAGCAGAGGCTGGGTCCACCTCCTTTGTTTCTCGTGTCCTTGCCTCTCGTCGTGTCCAGTGCCGACGGGGAGGCTCTGCCGTCACGGGCTGGCCTCTCAGCTTTCTTGACGTGCCTGCTGGCTCGGAGGCGCCAGCCGTGCTGTGCGCGCCACGGCGCCGCTCCTCGTGGACAAGACAGTCCTCCTCCTCTCCCCCCGTGTCTCTTCTGCCCCGCCCTGCCCTTTCTGCCCTGGCCCCCCCCCCCCTTCCCCGCCCTCTTCTTCCTGCCCCCTCTCCCCATCCCCTCTGCCCCGTCTGCGCCCGGCCACCCCCCCCTTTGGCCGCGGCCCCAGACCCCCGACGTCGTGATTTTTTCACGACGTCGACCCCCAGAGGTCTGGACCCCTTCCCCCGGACCGGTTTTTCGTTCTGAGTCGTTTTCTGACGCTCCCGAAGGCCCGGTGAGGGCCCCCGGAGGCCGAAAATAGCGAAACACCTCCCGCCGTGATTTTTTCACAATGTGAGGGGGTCTGGGCCACCCCGCTGCTGAGCACGAGCCGCAGGCCCAGACCCCCTCGAGTAATGAAAAAATCATGACGGGATGTTTTTCCTAATTTTCGGCCTCCGGGGGCCCTCACCGGGCCTCGGGAGCGTCAAAGAACGACTCAGGATGCAAAGCCGGTCCTGGGGAAGGGGTCCAGACCTCTGGGGGTCGACGTCGTGAAAAAATCACGACGTCGGGGGTCTGGGCAGCCCCGCGGGGGCCTGCCGTTTTCGAGCTTTTTTCGCAACGCGAGGGGGTCTGGGGCTCAGGATAGGGGGCAGGAGGGGATCAGCGAGACTTCTTTACTCTCGCAGCGCCTCCGGAAGTTGCTGTCCAGAGACTGGCCTTAAGATCTGCTCAGCTCTGCGCTGAAAATCTGCTCTGCTCTGGGGCTCGGGCCACTCGCCCGCACCCCGCTGCCGGGACGGGCTGGCCGGCCTCCCGCCCGCCGGCGGCAGCCGGCGGGCCCCCCTGCCCCTGCCAGGCGGCAGGCGCCCTGCCGGCGCCCCTGGCTCGGCGTTGCTTTGAGCATTTGTCAGGAGGGAAAAAAAAACACACAGACACAATGAATCGTCGATTCCCTAGAAAATGTAGGAAAATATGGGAATCGGGCGGGACGACAAAAACCCAGAAGATATGGGAAAATATGGAGCATATTTTTATTTGTGTGTATTTATTTGTGTGTCCCAGGGCCCCTTCAATTCGCGCTCGTCTGCGCTGTTTCGGTCTTTGGACCAGCTGGCCTCGCCTTCGGGCGCCGCGGGGGCCGCGCGAGGGCCCCAGACCCCCGACGTCGTGATTTCTTCACAGCGTCGACCCCCAGAGGTTTGGGCCCCTGCCCCCGGACCGGTTCCTCGTCCTGAGTCGTTTTTTGACGCTCCCGAAGGCCCGGTGAGGGCCCCCGGAGGCCGAAAATAGCGAAAAACCTCCCGCCGTGATTTTTCCACGGCGCGAGGAGGTCTGGGGCCGTGCTTTCTTTTGTCGGGGGAGCGTAAGACCCGGGTTTGCCAGGACTCGGGTTCGCCATCGTTTTTTGACGACCGCGACTCGGATTTTGACGAGTGGGAGTTTCGTTGGAGGTCTGCAGCGGGAGGCCTCGTCAAAATGCAGGCTCGGCCTCGTCATTTTTTTGACGACCTCGTCGGGGATTTCCGAGTCCCCCGTACCCGGGTCTGACGTCTCCCCGAGCTATGCGCGGCGCTGGGGCGAGGTCCGCCTGCTGAGAAGCGAGCCGCCCTCCACCCGGGAAGCTGCCGCAGGCCATCCCGGAGACTGTGCGCGGCGCCGAGGAGGAGGAGGAGGAGGAGGAGGAGGAGGAGGAGGAGAAGGAGGAGGAGGAGGAGGAGGAGGAGGGAGGAGGAGGAGGAGGAGGAGGAGTCTTACGTTTCCCCGATTTTGTATTGTTTTGCACTCTTTCCTTCTTCGGGGGGACGGCGGCGGGCCACCTCGCTGCTCCTGTCGGCGCCCCTGGCCGGGGGGCCCCTCCTGCGCCCGGCATATACGGCGCCCGCGCGCCCAGAGGCACCCAGACCCAACCCCGAGCTGTGAGATAGTTACGACGGGAAGTCTTTCGCTATTTCTTTGGCCTCCAGGGGCCCTCACCGGGCCTCGAGACCGTTCAATACCCAGACCCCCCCCGAGCTGTGAAAGAATCACGACGGGAAGTGTTTCGCTCTTTTTAGCTCCAGGGGCCGCCACCGGGCCTCGAGACCGTTCGAAAACGCCTCGGGATGAAGAGCCGGTCACGGGGAAGGGGTCCAGACCTCTGGGGGTCGACGCTGTGAACAAATCACGACGTCGGGGGTCGACCTGGGCATGCGACGTGCTGATTTTTGCACGACGGCGCCCGCGGAAGTCCCGACCCGTTCCCTCTAGGACCGGCTCTTCGCCCCGAGCCGTTTTCTGGCCCTGGCGGCGCTAGGGCCCGGCGAGGGCCCCCCCCTCCCACGGGCCGAACAGAGCGAAAAAGTCGCCGCTCCGTGTTTTTTTTTGTTTTTTGTTTTTTTGTTTTTGTTATTTCTTTCTTTCTTTCTTTCTTTCTTTCTTTCTTTCTTTCTTTCTTTCTTTCTTTCTTATTATACATATGTATGTATATTTAGCACATATATATGTTATATATGTTATATATGTTATATATGTTATATATGTTATATATGTTACATATATTACATATGTTGTTTATGTTACATATGCTCTATATATAGATATATTTATATATACACATCCAGACTCCCGACGTAATGTTTTTTTCATTACGTCGACCCCAGAGTTCTCGACCCCTTCCCCAGGACCCGCTTGTCATCCTGAGTCGTTTTTTGACGCTCCCGAGGCCCGGTAAGGGCCCCCAGAGGCTGAAAATAGCGAAAAGCCTCCCGTCGTGATTTTTTCATGGCTCGAGGAGGTCTGGGAGGTCTGGGTGCACCTCCTGGGTCCCTGCTCTCGGCGGGCCCCAGCACCCGGGCCCGGGCCGCGGAGCCCGAGCGCCTCCCTGGCCAGGCCCGGGCGGGCGCGCACCTGCGCCAGCCCCTGGGGCCCAGAGATCCGACGTCGTGCTTTTTTCGGTGCGGGGCCCCCCCTCCTGGGACTTGCCAGCTCGTTCTCAAAGGGACGGGGCTTCCCTTCGAGTGCATGACGACGCTGCTCAATTCCGTTAGACCGATGGTCAATGGAATTCCGTAGATTCTGCCAGCGCCGTCGGAGTGCGTTTTATTGCCGTTCGGGGCCGCGCTGCATGTCGAGCCCGTGTGAAGATTTGAGCTTATATCGTCCGTACAGTGCTGGACGATGCTCGAAAGAGCAGATTATTGCGGGGCCCCCTGGAAGTCTCGACCCCTTCCCCAGCCCAGACCTCTTGGCGCCGTGAGAAAATCGCGACGGGAGGTTTTTCGCTATCTTCGGCCTCCCCAGACCCCCTCGAGTAATGAAAAAATCATGGCGGGATGTTTTTCCTAATTTTCGGCCTCCGGGGGCCCTCACCGGGCCTCGGGAGCGTCAAAAAACGATTCAGGATGCAAAGCCGGTCATGGGGAAAGGGTCCAGACCTCTGGGGGTCGACGTCGTGAAAAAATCACGACGTCGGGGGTCTGGGTCCCTGGAAGTCTCGACCTGTTCCCCAGGCCCGGTTCTTCGCCCTGAGCCGTTTTTGGACGGTCCCGAGGGCGCCCTCAGGGGCCCCCCGGGGCCAGGAAGCAGGAACAAAAACCTCCCGTCGCGATGTTTGCATAGCTCGAGGGGGCCTTTTTTTCTTTGTTTTTTTGTTTTTTTTGTTGTTTTTGTTTTGCATTCTTTGCTTCTTCGGGGGCCGGCGGCTGGCCACCCTCGCCGCCCCCCTCGACGCCCCCACGGCCGGGGGCCCGTCCGGCGCCCGGCATTATGCGGCGCCCGCGCGCCCAGACATACGGTCGGGGCGCTGCAGAAGGACCCCTTTTTTCGTTGGGGAGGGGCTCCCCAGACCTCCTCGAGTCATGAAAAAATCACGACGGGAGGCTTTTCGCTATTTTCAGCCTCTGGGGGCCCTTACCGGGCCTCGGGAGCGTCAAAAAACGACTCAGGATGACAAGCGGGTCCTGGGGAAGGGGTCGAGAACTCTGGGGTCGACGTAATGAAAAATTCATTACGTCGGGGGTCTGGGCAGAAGGACCCCTTTTCGTTGGGGAGGGGCTCCGTGCTCCTCGGGTTTTCCTTAGGTTCTCCTTGCGTTTTCCTCCGGTTTTCCTTTCGTCCCAGACCCCCGACGTCACGATTTTTTCATGACGCGGCCCCCAGAGGTCCGGACCTATTCGCCCGGACCGGTTTTTCATCCCGAGTCGTTTGTTGACGGCCCCGAGGGCCGGTAAGGGCCCCCCGAGGCGGAAAATATAGAAAGACCTCCCGTCGGGATTTTTTCATGACCCGAGGGGGTCTGGGTTCGTGAGGGCGCACCTGCGCCGGCCCGGGGCCCGGGACGGGCCCGGCCAGCCTCGGGGAGAGGCCGGCGCGCCGAGGTGCTCCGGGGCGCGTTACCCAGACCCCCTCGAGTAATGAAAAAATCATGACGGGAAGTTTTTCCTGATTTTCGGCCTCCGGGGGCCCTCAACGGGCCTCGGGAGCGTCAAAAAACGATTCAGGACGAAAAGCCGGTCCGGGGGCAGGGGTCCAGACCTCTGGGGGTCGACGTCGTGAAAAAATCACGACGTCGGGGGTCTGGGTAGCTGGCCGGGCCCCCGCCGCGCGCGCCGGCCTCCCCGGCCTGGCCGCAGGAGCCGGGCCCGGCCCGGGGCCCCCCGCGCGGAGGCCGCGGCGTGGTGCCACGAGAGGCCGACCCTCCTCCTCCTCCTCCTCCTCCTCCTCCTCCTCCTCCTCCTCCTCCTCCTCCTCCTCCTCCCTCGAGTATTATGAACAAATCACGGCGGGAGGTTTTTCATGATTTTTGGCCTCTGGGGGCCCTTGCCGGCACTTGGGACCGTCCAAAAACGATTCAGGACGAACAACCGGTCCCGGGGAAGGGGTCCAGACAGCTGGGGGTCGACGTCATGAAGAATTCACGGCGTCGGGGGTCTGGGGAGGCCCCGAGAGCCGCCGAGGGGTCCTTTGTGTTTTTGTGTTTTGTTTTATGCTTTGCTTGATGGTTTGTGCTTTGTTTCGTGTTTTGCTTCATGTGTTGTTTGATGTTGTGTGTTTTGTGTCTTGTGCGTGGTGTTATGCTGTGCTCAATGTTTTCTGTTTTGCGCTTTTTGTGTCTCGTTTCGTGCTTTGTTCTGTTTTGTTTGACCCCCGAC